TGACGTGTGCTCTGAGTGATTCCATCAAGTGAAAATGTAATAATAAGTAAACTCCTCTATTTGTACTCTTTAAGATAGGTATTTGATGTAGGACTTGTGATATCGGCTGATATTCAATAATGTGATGGTGTGATCTTATGGGACTATCACATTATGGGTTGTATCTATGGATTTCCCTTCGAGGAAATCATGGATCATTTCAGGTTGCATGCAGGTAAGTCAGTTACTTTGGTCGGTTTGGCCCTTTGAGTGTCTGAAAAGTGGGCCATCCAATCCAAGGGAGGCTGCACCTCGACCCGTGGATGCCACTGACTTGGATCAAGGGTGGAGAGTCCTCTTGGTGTGTTTCCTTGCTCTCCCATGGATTGGTGATGTGGCAAGGGAGGTAAGGGCGTTGGGCGATGCTAGGTGGTGTCGTCTGACCCTACCAAGTGGGGCCCAAGTCTCCCAACCACGTCCACTTGCTTCTTGTACACTTATTTGGTGATTTTTTTGTTTTTTCCAGCATTCAAACACTTCTCCAAGTACAAGTGGAACTTGGTCATTTATCAACAAAAATTTAGGAAATGTGATGTGTTTTACCTTGATTTTGGGTGAAATGTTGGTGGCCTAACTAGGTGTTAGTGACCATCAACTACTATCTAACTTAGTAGTCAATGGAAAAGTATTGAGTTAGGTAGTCATTTAAAAGGGAGATGATCTTGATAGTAGGAATAGGTTCCCTCATTTAGATAATATATATTCTTTGTTCTAGTCGTCCCTATGTAACGCCTAGTTTTCTAAAGAAAACCAAGCTCGTCATATGTGTGACTAGGAAATCCACACATACAATAATTGAATGAAAGATATAAAAAACAATGTTATTTAATAGCATATACATAGTTATTTCATCACTTACATAAAATTATAGCGGAACGGTTGCTAATCTTGTCTACAGGCTTCACCTTCATAGGGACAGCGGACTAGGGGTACATATGCCTAGTAATTGTAGAACTCTTCATATAACTCACTAGCTCCACTATCTAGTACCCATCCGGGATTTTTCCAAAGTATAGAAAAGTAAAGCAAGTGTAAGTACATCTCGTACTCAATAAGAATAACATGGGGTTCATGAGGCTCAAAAGGATGACACTGGTTTACTGCGATTATGTAACACCCTAAAATTTGCATCATTTTAAAATAAGATAATTTGATTTAATTATGTATTTTGTGAGCATTTAAATTTAGAAAAATAAAAACTTTGTTAAAATTAAAATCAAATATAAGGTTTAGCAACTTGTTTGTGCATACATGCTGGTGCATTGGAATTATTGGAATGTGTGGCTTTGTCTAAAATTCAAAATGGTTTGAACTATTTTTGGAAAATGAGTTTGGAAAATGCTTTGGAATAAAAGAAAATAAGAAAGACTCTCCCTCTCTCTTATGGCCCGTGGCCATAGGCCGGCCCCCTCTCGCTTCCCCTCTCCCTATTTCCTCCTCTATGCAGCTCAGTAGCAGGACTAGCTCCACTCCCTCGCTGTCCCACTCGTTCTCCCTTCTCTTGGGCTGCACCGTTTACTCGTAGGCCCAGCCAAAAACCACGCTTCCCATCCCCTCCCCCGCGCCTCCTTCTTGGGCCGGCCCAACCAAGCCATGGGCGCCGCTCTCCTCTCACCCCTATGACGCTGATGGCCTAGCCCCAGCTATCAATTGCCTTCTTCCTCCCCGTGACGTCATCGAGCCAGACTCTGCTGCCGCATCGGTGTCCGCCGCCACCCTGTCATCGCCTGCTTCGGCGTGCGCCCCAAGTCTCCCCGCCTTTTGAATACCTAGCCCGCACTGTGCTGCCTGCCTCCCTAGATCTAGAGCAAGCCGCATCCACCGAGTTGCCATGCTACCGCAGCCCTAGGCGTCGCCGTCGACGCCGTTCGCCATCCTAAGCTGCGCACCGCCTTCATCCACTCCACGCCGTCGTTTTTCACAGTGGTAAGTTCACCTCGGCCTCCTCTTGCTCTCTATATCTTTCTCGAGTCGAACCATGGCCCGTAGGCCATTTTCCACATGCACCGCTCGCTGTCGGCCATGGCGCCGCTGCCAAAACTCACCGCTGGTTGTCTCTCTCCCTCCTTTCTTCTAATCTCAGCCATCCAATCTCGATCCAACGGTTGAGATTAACCCGTACCCCTTCGGCCGACAATCTTTCAAAAGAACCCCCACACATTTGTAGATTTGAACCCATGGTCCAAAGCATATGGCCAGGATACATTTTCTTCTTTTGAAAGCGTAGTTGCTTCGGTTAGATCCAAAATACATTTTCATCTATTTACAGTTTTGCCACTATTTTCTTTAAGCCATAACTTCTCTGTTTTAACTCTAATTTTATCCTTTCAAGTTGTGTTAGATTTGGAATTGAGTAATCTACATGTTCAAGCTACTGTTAAATATATTTTCAACTTTTGAAATTCGAGATTAGTTTTAATCTATTGTTTTATTAATGGAAATCTTGTTTAATTCATAACTTCTTTGTCATAGCTCCGATTTTCGTGATCTTCGCGTCTGTGTGTTCGTAGCGAGACATAGATTATTTTTACAAACTTTTCATATTTTTCTTATTGTTTGGTGTACTATTCTAATTTAGTTCTATTGTATGCTTCGTGTATGATTGCATGGATGCTTGTGTGGTGCTTTATCATCCTGTCTAGTCGGTGAGCTTTATGTGTTGATCAAGGAGTTCCTTGGAAGCTTTGGACTAGAAGAAGGATCAGAGTTTAAGGCAAGTATAGCATGGGATCTTCCTTGTTCTCCTATATACCTTTAATCATTTAATTCATATTGCATGTGTTTACCTTGCTTACCACTAAGGATTTCCTAATACTTTGTACCTTGTTCCTTGATACCTATGTGGTATTGCATTGGGTAGTATGATGCTAGTGCTCAAACTAAAGCCATGATCTTGTAACTTGACTAATGGAAGATGCAATAAACACCAAAAGATGTTTTTAGCAACATGGAACTAGGGGGCTAGAGCATTGAGCTATTTTTATGGTGCTCTAGATTCATCTCCCTAAGGACTTATCTATAAGCGAACATCTAGGACTTACAGTACAGCTGTGAGGGCTACATGGCTCTAGCTTTAGCTTAGTATGAGGACCTTTTCTAGCTTGTTAGTGATTACATTTATGGCACAAGAGGGGCTCCGACAGGTATGACCTTTGCCTGCCAGGTTGAGTGCATTTTGGTTTCTTGGTCCTTTATTAGTCACTCCTTGGAGGGAAGTTCATGCTTATTGATGGGGAAACCTAGCAGCCCTAACTTGTTAGACGAACTTTGAAAGGCTTCATAGTGAACCCTACTAACCTTCCTTGGTAGTGGGTCAAGAGGTTGGCCATCTCGAGCGAAAGGGTAAATCACGACTCACAGTGAAAGTGTACAACCTCTGCAGAGGGTAAAACTGGTATATCAGCAGTGCTCACGATCATCAGCGGCCTTGGACCCTTACGGAATAGATGATCATTAATTGTTAAAGATGATGAACACTAATGATACTGATGATAAAGATGCTCACTAATGATTACTATTTATACTATTCATTATTCATGTTTACCTGATCATGTGTTTATATGGGCTTGTGATAAACTTGTTGCTACTCCTATGCTAAAATTATGATAATTAAAAGCTAATCGTAGTTAAACCAGTGTTAGCCTTTGAGCCTCATGAACCCCATGTTATATTTGTTTGAGTACAACATCTACTTACGCTTGCTTTATTTTTCAAATATTTGGATAAAAATCCTAGATGGGTACCAGATTGCTATAGTTTGGAGGAATTAGGCTTGTGATCAACCAGTCAGTTGTCCCTGTGAAATTGGAGTCTTCACCCGAAGATCGGAGTTGTCTTTCCGCTGTTTGTAGTCTAAGGTTATATCTCTTGTAATACTATGTTGTATTGAGCATTGTCTTTTGATATTACCCCTTATCTGTAGCTATATGTGAGATTTGACTTCCTGGGCTCACATATGGTGCATATCTGGTTTTATTCTTAAAATTGGGTGCTACAGATTTAGCTTTATTGAGTCACAATTTTAAGCAATTGAGTAGCATCAAATTTATTATAAGCCCACATAAACACATGATCAAGTAAACATGAGTAATGAATAGCATAAACAATTAATCCATAGTGATCATCTATTCTGTAAAAGTTCCAAGGCCGCTTGTGACCATGAGCACGGCTGATATACCAGTTTTACACGCACAACACACATAAAGTCACACAACAAGCTAACATCACATCACAAAAAGCGTGTCAAATTAATATGAAAAAGTTTGAAACCACAGTTTTCTATATTTAAATTAGTAAAAACTTAATTAATCTTGAAAATTTTATACAAATATTGAAATCATTTATTTTATTTAGTGTTTTCCATGTACAACCCAAAATTAGAAATTTTAGGGTGTGACACCCTAGTCTAACTTCTTAAGAATACCATTTGGTACTTCAAAGAAAGACATTATATGCATGGCAAAGCTGCACAAAATAGTGTTTATCAAAATTATTCTGCCACCATAAGACAAAGGCTTCCAATACTATACTTACATCTCCTGCTTGGTATTATAATGAAAGAAGGGGAAAATGGTGTGTTCATTAAAGACAATGTTTGTTCTACATCGTGATATAGTAACAACACATATACAATGTTGTGGTAAATTTAAGAAACTGTGAAATAATTTACTAAATTTTATTTAGTAAATTACATTATCTCAAACTTTTGCAAGCTATATCTTTTGTATTGCGATATATGATAGATGGATTTCACATCTATCCTTGGACTACATCTTTATCTTGTCATCATCACTGCTACAAGTCCTGCTAGAGATAGAGATTGAAGCCTAACATCGCCGCTTTAGTTCATTTATTTATATGATAAGCATATCCTTGTATGGTATCGAGTTATGTTATAAATACATACACAGTCTCATATTCCTCAATAGCATCACATGAACAACTTATCTCAGAGGTTTGCGATGTCGACCTCTAAGGATGGAAATGATCCAAAGGGGAAAAGTGTGGAGACTGCCATCACTAATACTTCTCCTTGTGTGCTAATAGTTGAAAATTGCCAAGTTGATTGCTTTGTTACATCTTATCTCTTAAGAGGGCATAATGTTCAAGGTATATATGCATGTTATTATGGATTTCTACTTTTGTTGTGTGAAATAATCTTTAAAGGGATACCTCTCTCAAACCTAGTATACATGTTGTTGCGCAAAAAAAATATTCAATAGTACTTGTATTCTCCCATAGCTTTTCTTTTATTTGGTTTCATTAGATTCACCATGAAATAAAAATTAAAAAGAAGTTAGAACCATTTTATTTGAAAGCCCTATGTATTTCTATGATTTTTTGGGCATATCATATATAGTTCATTGTACAGCTACTCAATTGTTCTTTTCAGTGGTCTAAGTGATATGATGATTGATTTGTTTCAGTGATTGCTGCTCAAGGTCCTTGGCAAGCGTTAGAGCTCCTAAATGCGGTACATCTTTAGTTTTACATAGTTTTGTCGCAACTTGTTTTTGTTATAATACAATTCTTTGTTTAACTGAATTTATCTATGTGTACTACATATGTTAACCTTTGACATTTTTCTTATGAATTTTTCACAGGAACACAACGTGAAGCTAATTCTATCTAATTATTGGATGCCGAATATGACTGGATATGATCTACTGATGGAAGTAAAGGTACAACATTCACTTCCTTTTGAAAAAAGAAGACTTCTAAGCATTCTTGCCTTTAGATTTCCTTCTTGCTGCAAGATATTTTCTCACAGTGTCTTTGAGTATTTCAAAAATGATTCTCTATAATAGCTAAAAAATTTATGTTTTCTCCCACTTAGAAATCACCCAAGTTGAGCCACCTCCCAGTGGTGATTACCTCATTCGACAAAAGTCCTGAAATAGTTAAAAAGTAAGTAAATGCAAAATTATTTCTAATTAGTTGGTTACACATGCCACATGAGTGCCCAACATTAGAAATTATATTTATGATATACAGGTGCTTGGATGGCGGAGCCAAGGACTACATCATGAAACCTATCAAGTATGGTGATGTTCCTCGCATTCTAAGGTATATTTGATGTGAGGAGCAGAAAGGTAGTGAAGAATGAAGGAATCAAACTATTGTATGGGACTATCTATCATGTTATTTGTTAATTAAAAACTCAATATATAAAGGATAATGTATTTTTTATTCCATCTTCCCCTATAAATTGTTGTATGGGGAATGGAGATGGTAAACATGGGATTCAACAATCTCCTTTCAATATTTTTGAAAATTGACAAAACAAATTATCGCCACCCCATTTACAAAGGGGACACCCCACCCATTTTTCTTTGACCAATGGCTTATATTCTATAATAATTCTTTGAAAACAAATGTACTATTATGATTCATTATTCTAGTTACAAAATTATATTTGGAATTTGTCAATACAGTTTTTGGCATATTGAGCGGTCAGCAAGATTGCTTTAGGTAACATGATTTGCATAACTTGTTGACAAATGACATCAAATAAATTTTCAATATGAGATGAGCTTCCTGGATAATTATTGAACAACAGGTCATTGTGTGCTTTCAACTTGACAGAGTCATACAAGTATTGAGAAGTTGGATAATTTGTCTATAATTTTTTATTTTTCTACAGAGATATGTATATGAATAGAAAGGGATTTATGTATGGTTTGTGACTATGCTAAATAGATACTTGTATGAATTGAAAGTTGAGTAGTAGTTTTGTGGCCATGGTACATCTATTGTGCCTTAATTGCAATTTATTTCATAAGCAGAGGGTTCACCATTACCTCTACCATTGATGAAACTCTCATCAAAGCCTCTTACTAGCAAATGTTTTTGAACTTTAGTTTTTGTCAAGTAAGTCATGCAATGGCACCTTGTACGTGGACATGTTGTAGTTTCTCCATATGTTCCATGAAATGCATTGTTAATAAATTTTTTGAATCCTTTTTGCCACTCATTTGTTTAACTAAACTATACGTCATAAGACATGTTTTTTCACACAACCTAATCAAAAGAGCGCCAATTAATAATAGGACCATGCAAAACTAAACCACTAGTGTGATGTTACTATTGCATTAGAAGCATACCTAAATTGTCGATGCTAAGGTCTGAGACGAGTTGGGAGATTATTGCCGTCGTGCACTTAGTTCCAAGGTGATTGCCTCCTTCATGCCATTTTTGATAATGCGATCTACTTGCTGCCTCTAGTTCATGACCTCTTGTGTGCATAGAAGGAACAAGGGCAAGTGGCAGCGCTTCATGTGCAAGACTGGCAGCGCCTCATGTGTAAGACCGGCTTCGATGAGGCAATTTTTCTTTGTGCCTACATATGTTGCCATGATTAGATTTCCTTGACTTTGGGCTGTATGCAATCATAGAAATTGCAAAAGCCCATGTAAATACATGGGTTGGGATACAATCTTCTATTGCCACAATATGTACTTCTATATAGCAACCACTAAGCTTGTTGTAGTACATCCTTAGCATTGCAACAGTTTATTTTTTCGTTGCTATATCTACAACTCTTTTGCAACGCAAGAAACTATTATATACAATGAAACATATTCGTTGCAACATGGATGTGCCACCGCAACTATCAACTAAAGAGTTGCAATATCATCTTAGTATTGCGACGCCAATAAAAACTGCCCGCAACGCAAATCAAATCGTGGCAACAGTGATCACTTATTGCAACCGTTCTATAATTGGTTGCGATAACACTTACTTTTCTCAACAATCTCCATACCTAGGGCGACGAAACAATTTGCGTGATAGAAATCGCATCTATCGCAACCGAAAGTGTAAATGGTTGCGACAACACCCCTTATTGCAATGAAATCTTGTCATTGCAACAAAAAAGCATGGCATAACGGTTGAAAGTTAGTAGTGCATCCATGTAGGTCCATCACCATTTAGGAGTTAAAGGAGTAAGTTATAATACCCCAAGTCCAAAATCTACTTACGACCAAGCTCCTCACATGGAACCGGCTAGCATACCAAGGAACCTCTATTGCGCTTTGTCCTCACTTTGTGTAAATGGGTTAATCGTGTGGTACTACATTTGGAGCGATAAGGATTATAAGCTGGCCCTCAGTCTCCTATACTTCCAAGGTTTTGATAAATCCACCAACTACAACCACACAAGGGACACTTGGGCCAATACTACATGCTACTAATGAGTCAGGGTATTACAACTATTGCTAGCTAGGATCAATGCCAGCCAACCACGGTGATATCCATCTCCAGAGAATGGAGGAGGGGTCACCACTCTCCTAAGGGCCATGTTTGTAGGGGTTTGACCAAGAAGACATGTTGCTTTACACTACAAGAGATCTTGTTTCTATAATGTTCAAAAACTTTCATAAGGATGGGGGAGTTGTCACAATTACCTTCTAGGATACTCCAGTGGAAAAACATCATAGAAGGTGCGTCATTATGCAAGTTCTATGATGAATAGAGTGAATTACAATTGATATGGAGATGATTGTATTTTTGTCATTACCTTTGTTGCATATAATCATCATAAAAAATGTCACAACACGTTGAATAAGGGGCTAGATTCCATGTGGACGATGACGTGGTAGTGTTGAGGTGGCAAGTGATATATATGGCACACATGTTGTGGTCAAATTCATCATCGTAAAATAGAATTTAACCCATTTGGCCCAAATGACATGGGTAGTTTTTTTCAATCTAGTTAATTGGTCTTAGCCCATAAAAAGGACATTTTGGTTTGGGCCAAACCCATTTCAAAGTCCATTTGTTTTTTTTCCAAAAACCCATTTTGCATTACAATGTTTATAGACCCAAGCCCATTTTACATATGGCATGATAATTGACCAAATAATCTATGGGTCTGTCCCATTCAAGCAATGTCACAATCGTCACCAATCTCATATACATACGACCCATACATTTGCATATCAAAGTGTTAGCAGTATGTTCGCAAGTCCGATAGTAATGTTCACAAACCAAAGGACCAATTTCATATGCATTTGCAATATAGACTGGTTATCTCATAATAATCTAGAAGTACTAACCTAAGTAGATAATAATCAATGAACAATAATGTAACACTCTAGAAGTAAAATGACTACAACCTTCTGGAGTAAGCCCACCCTACACTCTAACAAGCACGCTTAAACAGAGAACATGGAAGCAACAAGCGCCTTCTTAGCTGAACATCAAATTAAGTCTTCTACGATGATATTGTGAAACACAAACTTGAGCTGCTACTAGCAACTTCAAAGGGGCAGGAGACCACACTCCATCACCTAAAACATTACTATTACAAGCAGTGTTTACTCGGGGTGTAAATAAAGAAGTGTGAACTCATCCTGCTACTTCCATCCCGCAAAGTATCCTCAAACAAGTGTATGAGGTTTATGGGAAACCTCAACAAGCAAACTGCTTTAACAAAGTTATTTAGATCATAGTTGACTTAAGCATCAATTTAAAAGCCATATTGTTGTGGCTGTATAAACGAAAAGCATAATCAGATTTCAGATATGGCAAGGTAACTCTATTCATGATATAAACTACAAATAACAACTGATCAATATTTAACCAATGCAAACTGCGTATGGTGCATTGCAATGCAATGCGTGAATACCATAATCCGCTCTCTCGAACCCAACAAATGGTAGGAGGGATGCAACCACATTGCTTTTTCTCAATATGTGTTGCATACCAGCACGGTTTCATGCCTCCAAGCATAGACACAAATCCATATGAATACTAGGAAGGAGAGTGCAAATGCAAAGTTGCAATGCAAAGATGAATGCCATTTGAAACCAATATTCCATATACCAAAGGTAATACCATAAATCAGAGAGACAACATATTCAAACATATTCCAATATGAATAAATAAAGTTACTTCAGATCATATTGCTTGGTGTATGGTACAGAAATTTTGTGGAGGCAATCCAAACATCAATGCCAAAGCATGTAGGCCACATCGTTATGTTGACTTGCCTTCACCAAAGATCAAGAGTGTGAGTTACGCACAATCTAAATGTGCACCACCTGTTTATAGACCACCACTTCAGAATGCACAATCATACAAGTATAAACAAACAACATATAAAGTGCTCCTATGGTCCCCTTTACCATCGATTTTCCCCAACCAACAACTAAACAAAATATTAACAGCAGCTATGCTGCTTCACATTTTTACTAAGAAACAACTACTCCAAAAATTCTAATATTTCACCAGATGCTTGATAAAACCAACCTGTAAAACTTTCATGTTGTAACTTTTGGGACTTGAAGGACCTAAGATGTTGAAAATGATCTAACAAGATTACTGAACCTTTATGACAACAAAACAACAACAGTCCACAAATCTAACAATAACTTGAGTTCTTCTCAACCTGTGACAACATTATATACATTGTTTGAAAGCTTATGAAATTTCCCATAACTTCATTTCATATTGTTTCCCAAGATTCAGAACATAAGATGGAGTAAAACTTGATGCATCTAATACTGCATGGAAATATGACAAGAAAGCTTGGTCGAACAGCCATATCTCCCAAACCACAGGGGCTAAGAGTGTGATCTTTGAACCAAAATAAAGGTATTGAAGTTTACTACACGGATATAATTTTTCCAAAATTGTTGGAATAAAGAAAATGGCCTCAAACAGATGATAAACAATGATTGCTCGTTCTAAAGAACAACAGAGACTAATTACGAGATTAGATGCCTAATTCCTCCCATTAATCAGTAAAAACAGCAGCCCAGTAGGGGAAAACAAGATCTGACCACCATAGGGACGACAACAATGAAGGCCAAAAATGACTTCTCCTTCCAATTTCCCTTCTCCCTAGCAGCGATCCTCGCCAATCAATCATGAAACCCCATCAACACCAGCATGTGGAGTGGGAGAAAATGGGCAAAATGAATAGAGAAGATGTCCAACCAGTTTTTGGACAGGAACGACGATAGGGAACAGCGATGGTCAAGCCATAATCCCTCTCTTCCTCTCCTTGTTCTGGTGTCTCCTATGCGCGATAGAGAGGGCAGCGTGGTGGCGGCACAGGACATCGCAGGGGTATTAGGGTTGAGGTGAGATAGTAGTTGGCCAAAGGGCAGGGAACTGTAGCACACGCTATAGCATTATGTTTGCTCATTCTTATGACAAGCATAACTCAATCATCCCAACTCTGATCAAGACTTTTGAGTAGTCAAACAGAAATCATTTCACAAGCTCTACACATATGTCTCTCAAATTTTCCATCTGAGCAACGGGTAAAAATTCAACTTTTGGTCCCACATTAAGTTCTTGGTCAACCATTAAAAACTTAAACCATCTTTATTCTTTGCATATCCTGCGTATTACATTCTTCCCCTTAAAAAGAATTTGTCCTTGAATTCCATGCAACTAGCATGGACTAAATGAAACCAACGATTACTAATGAGACTCAAAAAAACTGTCTACTTCTTGCGCATATAGGACTTCAATTCCCTTTTGTCTTCTCACTCTGTCTGACTACTCCATAATACCTTCACATATTTGATAGTCCTATTATGCATGACACTTTATGAGGAGTTTGATATGCACACTGGGTGACACGGTACAG